TTAATTATAATTATATTATATACAAAATAGTAGTAACTAGTATTAAATCATATAATATTATAGTATTTCTTAATGTTTTTTATTGTCATTTATATTTATATGTTTTTTTTAGTATTTTTAAGTTAATATTTTCGACTTATGTTCAGTTTGATGAATTTTATAATGTGCTTATATATATATATATATACTGTTCTTTTAAACTTTCTATTCATCAAAGAATTGGAATTGTGGGGGGAAAAAAGTATCACAGTTTCCTCAAAAATATTGTGCAGCACAACTGTTTTCAACATGGATAATAATCAGAAATGTTTCTAATAAATCAGCATATTATTATTATTTCTGAAGATCATGTGACACTGAAGACTGGAGTAATGATGCTGAAAATACAGCTTTGATCTCAGAAATACATTACAGTTTAACAGATATTCACATAGAAAACAGCTGTTTTACATTGTAATAATATTTCACATTTTTACAGATTTTACTATACTTTTGTTCAAATAAATGCAGTCTTGGTGAGCAGAAGAGATTCTTTTTTCAAAAAAAAAAAAAATCTCACCAACCCCAAACTTTTGAAAGGTAGGCTAATGTGTGTGATGTTCAGATATTTATAAGTGTAATTTAAGTGTCCAAATTCATATTGAAGCACATAAACATGAAGCAGAGCAGCTCCCAGTTCATCTGCTAAAAATAACATTAACATTTGAGCAGCTTTTGAAAGACTGGAGAGATGAAGAGATTTGTAGGTCAGAACGACAAAGCTTTGAGCATAAACACCAATACACACTCACACACATACACACACACACACAGAAACACTTACACACTCACACACACACTCTCACACACACACAAACACACACACAGAGAAACACTTACACACTCACACACACACTCTCACACACACACAAACACACACACAGAGAAACACTTACACACTCACACACACACTCACACACACACACAATCTCTCACACACACACACACACACAGAAACACACACACACACACTCACACACACACACAATCTCTCTCACACACACACACACACACACACACAGAAACTCACACATACACACACTCACACACACACATACACACACTCACACTTTAATTTAATTTAATTTAATATTTAATCCCTACGCACTTTTGGAGACACAGGTTTACATGAAATTTTACAACATTCATTCATTCATACGTACGTTTAATTTTACTTTTGTTACTTTCTTGCAAATTTGCGAAAGGGTATTTATTTATTATTTATTATTTATTTTTATTTGTTTACTTTTCATGTTTCTTTTATTTCTTATTTAATGTTAAATCCCTCAGTATGTTGAAACACTGTTATTGTTTTGTTTATTAAATTTTACATATAAAATGTATTTATTTGTTTATTAATTTATTTTATGCTTACATTTCATTTTACTTTTATTTTTTTGTGGCAAATCACATAATATATTTATAAATGTCATTAATTATTTTTTATCTACTGTAAAATCCCTCTGTACTTTAGGAGATTCAAACCTATTAGCAAATCACTTTTAAGAATTAAACTGTGAGCTGAAACCAAAAAGCAATGGAAATCATAAAACAGTAATATAAAAGAGACAGATCTGAGACGTCAGTGGGGTTTCTCCTGAGCGTTGTGTGTGTTTGTGCAGGATCGTGATCTACTTCCACAGTCAGGTGGTGGATGGTCAGCGGAAGATCATCGAACTGCTTCAGGAGCAGATTGAGAATGTGAGATGTGAATCATGTGAATATGTGACTGTATCATCATATGACAGTAGCATGACATCACTTCCTGTTCCTGTTGATTCAGGAGGGCCAGGATAAAAAGTTCCTGATCACACGACTGCAGGACATCCATGAGCGGAAACGAGGAGTGACGCCACGCCGCGTGAAAGGAGCCAGCGAGGTACACACTCACACACACACACACTCACACTCATACTCACACACACACTCACACACACACACACACACTCACTCACTCACTCACTCACTCACTCACTCACTCACTCACTCACTCACTCACTCACTCACTCACTCACTCACTCACTCACTCACTCACTCACTCACTCACTCACTCACTCACTCACTCACTCACTCACTCACTCACTCACTCACTCAATTATACACATTTATGTCCTCATTTGTCACAAAAATGCGCACACACACACACACAGGTTTGTTTTTGTGAAAAGTGGGGACTCTCCATAGGTGTAATGGTTTTTCTACTGTACAGACCGTATATTCTATTGCTCTACACCAACCCTACCCCTAAACCTATCCCTCACAGGAAACTTTGTGCTATTTCAGATTTTCAATACACTCCATTCTGTGTGATTTATAAGCGTTTTGAAAAGTGGGGACATGGGGTAATGTCCTGAAAAGTCACCTTCTCCTTGTAATACCTATGTCATACCCTTGTCATTATACAAATTTATGTCCTCATTTGTCACAAAAACGCACACACACTCACACTCACACTCACTCACACACTCACTCATACACTCACGTTCAATAATACACCTTACAATTTCGAGTCACAATCCAGTTTTGAAGCGACTCCTGGTGCATGAATCTTTGATTCAGTGCAAAATCACTAACTCATACCATTTGCGTCTGGTTTCAGGATTCCAGTTATTCCTGACGCTCTTCTTGAACTGATGGAGCCATAGAAACGACCTGAACAGAAACTCTGATGAATGTGGATCTCTCACAGAAACCACTAGAGTGTGTCATGAAGCTTCATGATCCTGCTCAGATCAGACGGGTGTTTCTAGAATCCAGAATCACACTCTTCACAGGAAGACCAGAGTAAATAAACACTCGCACTGCTAGCTTTGGTTAGTTGGATTCTGGTTAAATCTGTTGAAATATTACCTTTTATACTGGTGATGGTGTTTTCATGCAGTCTCTGATATTGAGACGCTTTTAATTTTACTGTGAAATATTTCATACTCACTGTTCCTCAGCCCTCAGTAACTGGACCTTCTGTTTAATGTACTGTGATATTGTTTTCACAAAAACAGTTTTAAATAAATATGATTTTTTTTTTTATTATTATTATTAAACTTTTATTATTAAACTTAAACTTTTTTGGCCATGATTATAATTAATATATTTTATGGAGGCATGCAAATGAAATGGCGATGTTCAACAGGTATGTACACTTTACACAAAATCACTTTCAGAAACACTCATAAATATGATTTACATAAAATAAATAACAATGTAGCTTAAGTTTGTCTTACGTTTGAACATATTCTACAAATCACAATAGAAAGGCTGAAGGTGAATGTCAAGAAACCTGTCAAGAACATTGTTTAATATACATGTATATATATATATATATATACACACACACACACACGTTCTCGACGGGTTTGGTGAGATTCTGTGATCCAGTCAGCTTAGTGGAGAGATGCGTTCAGATGTCCGTGTGTATAAGGTGTTTGTGTCTCTGATGAGTAGTCTGTTGATTTTGGTATCTGGATTTCCAGTATTTGTTTGTGAGGTTGTTGTGAAAGTGCTTCATTATTATGGGCTGAAGTGAAAAGCATCAGAGAGTTTGACCCGTCCTTCATCCGCAGAGAAAGACACAAGTGTCTGTTGTTGTTGCAGTCCATGGAGTGTCCAGTAGAGGATGCCACCGTTAACCTGATTCTGGAGAATATGGTACCTGTGTGATCACACATGGGCTCCGTCCCAAATGGAGGCCTGAGCTCTTCATAGGGTGGCTATATGTTGGGTTTAAGGTCAAGACGGTCCAGTTTGTAAATGCATGGCCATTGGTATACGATGATATATAATTAATAAATAATTTTTAAAAATGTGCTGTATAAATTAATATCAAGAGACATACATTTTAGACACAATATAGTTCCTCTATTCCACCAACAAAACTAGCTCAGAATCACAGCATAACCATTGCATCTCTGTTCAACACAGTGGAGTTTTGTTCCTGAATTATTCAGCTTTTTTTAATGATTCAGTTGAGTCAATGATTCAATGACTCATTCGTAAAGACTGTCACTTGCTTTGTACTTGAATGAATCAACCATTTTAAAGAACTCTGTTGAGTATGCTTCAATAACTCATTCATGAAGATAGCCACTTGCATCATTTCTGAATGAATCAACTGTTTTGAATGACTCTGTTGAATCAATGATTCAATGACTCATTCATAAAGACTGCCACTTGCTGTTTTCTTGAACGAATCAGCCATTTTGAACTAATTCGTTGAATCAATGTATTTATGAATGAGTCAGTCACTTGTTTTGTTCCTAAATGAATCAGCTGTTTTGAATGAATCAGTTGAGTCAATGATTCAGTGACTCATTCATAAAAGTGTTTTTTTTAAATGAATTGTTGTGTTATTGATTCAATGATCCATTCATAAGGACAGTTGCTGTATTCAGAACCATGTACTACTAACATACAACTCTCACTATTTCTGCCATGCAAAGATATCCTAAAATTAGTAAGAGTAGTATACTAGTATGCGTTTCTGAATTCAGCAAGTCACTTGCTTCATTGCCGAATGAACCAGCCGTTTTGAATGAATCGGTTGAATCAACGATTCAATGACTCATTTATAAAGACAGTCAGTTGCTTTGTTGCTGAATGAACCAGCCGTTTTAAATGAATCAGTTAAGTCAATAATTCAATGACTCATTCATAAAGCCAGGCAGTTGCTCCATTCCCAAACAAATCAGCTTTTTCCAACAAAACTGTTGTCAATGATTCAATGGCTCAAGTTGCTGTATTCGGAACCAGGTACTACTATCATGAAACTCTTACTATTTCTGCCATATTCTAAAAATAGTACGAATAAAACATATACTAAATGCCTAATTTTATAAAAAAGGTTATAAACCTTGCCCTTATAAAAGTAATATTGTCCCTCAATGGAAAAATTCTGTCGGTACTTATAGATTTGGGATTATTTTTAGCTTCACTGAATCCTCATTTTTGGTGCTATAGAAATGGCCACCCTCACTGATCATCAGTCATTCTATCCACATCAGCTGCTCCATTTGGGACGGAGCCGGAGCAAACGCAGTCAGGTGCCGTTACTGAGCATGCCCAGTAGTTTGTGGGGCTCCATGCCCTGCTGCTGTGCCACGCGCTGCACGTCGAAGCCCAGGTGCGTGAGGAACTGGATGACGGTCATCTCTTGCCCCGTCAGCTGCTCTCGGATGGTGGGGCAGGTGGGGTTGCAGTGGGGCCACGGGCAGCTGTCAATCAAGTGAAGGGGGCAGCCCCGGGGCGGAGCCTGAATGCTGCTGCTGTTGCCGTGGTGACGGAGGCTGCGGTCCCAGCACTGCAGCGCTCGAGGAAGTGAGGTACCTTTGACGTGGATGTCCATCCAATAACTGGAGGAAAAAGACTGACTTACTGCATACAGAAGACAGTAACTGAAGAGTTGCATCATGGATAATGTGTACTGTACACTGATTCCTAAAGGTGTCCTCAAATGCCCATTTTCCACAAGTTGATATGATTCTTTAGGGTCTTAATGAAAATTCTATAACATACTTTGGTTGAAATTTCTCAATGGTAGTGTAAAACAACACCCCTTTTACCCTGTCAAAAACTGCTCTGTTCACAGCGACCTGTTTCGGTGCATGTCTCTTTAAATGCTAATGAGCTCTGCTGACCCCGCCCCTCTCTCGCCCATCCAACAACAGAACACCCCGCTGCTCCGGAAAATTGTTCATTATGATAATGCATAACTGAAATGTTTATTTTTTGCATTTTAAGCATGCCTAGTGAGATAAAGAGCAAGTGAACACATACTCGGTGCATACTCACCTTCTTGTGATGATCTCATGAGACAAACAGGCGGGAGCGAACATGGCCCTGTCAATCACAACAAGGGCCAACCAGACATCAGTTAGAGTTATCAAGTTGAATTTTTAAGTAATTATATATATATATATATAAGTAATATTTTGCATAAACAAATTAAGCTTATTTTTAGGACCAATCCATTATTATTATTATTTGCATGACAATTAGGCACAAAAAATAATTTGTTATTGTTTTTTACATTTGTTGTCAATCAGAATGATCAAATGCCAATCAGAGATGAGTTTGACAGTTTCACAGACGTCATCAGATCCGTGATGTTGGGGTAAAACCACAGACCTGACAGGAGTTCAGGAACTCGTGCAGCTGAAATGCTTACGGGACGTTTTTGAGGGTGTTTCTGAGTTCGCTGCCCAGGTTCTGGATGTATCTCCACTGACCCTCCTGCACCGGCTGACCCGTCAGATGGACATTATCAACCATCAGCTGAGCCTCATCGAACAACCACTGAACCACAAACACCGGCCCTGAGAGAGAGAGAGAGAAAAGTATAAAGTCGTATGGTATAATGCAATTTTTATTTTATTTTATTTTATTTCCATGCCAAATACACTCTGCAAATGATCCACTGTAGTGACCCCTTATGGGTGTCCCCTTATTGTTTTGTTTTGGTTTGGTCCAGTTGTATATACAGTATGCAGATGATCTACTGTGGCGACCCCTAACAAGAGCAGCCGATACTGGCATTATATTTTATTATATTGTATTAGGTGTGTGTGACGAGAAGGGCGGGGCCGAGAGCCGTGGGAACAGATCGAGAGCGGGCGAGAGACACAAACACACACAGACAGACAGAGAGAGAGAGAGAGAGAGAGAGAGAGCGGGCGAGAGACACAGACAGAGAGAGCGGGCGAGAGGCACAAACACACACAGACAGACAGAGAGAGAGAGAGAGAGCGGGCGAGAGACACAGACAGACAGAGAGAGAGAGAGAGAGAGAGAGAGAGAGAGAGAGAGAGAGAGAGAGAGAGAGAGAGAGAGAGAGAGAGAGAGAGAGAGAGAGAGAGAGAGAGAGAGAGAGAGAGAGAGAGAGAGAGAGAGAGAGAGAGAGAGAGAGAGAGAGAGAGAGAGAGAGAGAGAGAGAGAGAGAGAGAGAGAGAGAGAGAGAGAGAGAGAGAGAGAGAGAGAGAGAGAGAGAGAGAGAGAGAGAGAGAGAGAGAGAGAGAGAGAGAGAGAGAGAGAGAGAGAGAGAGAGAGAGAGAGAGAGAGAGAGAGAGAGAGAGAGAGAGAGAGAGAGAGAGAGAGAGAGAGAGAGAGAGAGAGAGAGAGAGAGAGAGAGAGAGAGAGAGAGAGAGAGAGAGAGAGAGAGAGAGAGAGAGAGAGAGAGAGAGAGAGAGAGAGAGAGAGAGAGAGAGAGAGAGAGAGAGAGAGAGAGAGAGAGAGAGAGAGAGAGAGAGAGAGAGAGAGAGAGAGAGAGAGAGAGAGAGAGAGAGAGAGAGAGAGAGAGAGAGAGAGAGAGAGAGAGAGAGAGAGAGAGAGAGAGAGAGAGAGAGAGAGAGAGAGAGAGAGAGAGAGAGAGAGAGAGAGAGAGAGAGAGAGAGAGAGAGAGAGAGAGAGAGAGAGAGAGAGAGAGAGAGAGAGAGAGAGAGAGAGAGAGAGAGAGAGAGAGAGAGAGAGAGAGAGAGAGAGAGAGAGAGAGAGAGAGAGAGAGAGAGAGAGAGAGAGAGAGAGAGAGAGAGAGAGAGAGAGAGAGAGAGAGAGAGAGAGAGAGAGAGAGAGAGAGAGAGAGAGAGAGAGAGAGAGAGAGAGAGAGAGAGAGAGAGAGAGAGAGAGAGAGAGAGAGAGAGAGAGAGAGAGAGAGAGAGAGAGAGAGAGAGAGAGAGAGAGAGAGAGAGAGAGAGAGAGAGAGAGAGAGAGAGAGAGAGAGAGAGAGAGAGAGAGAGAGAGAGAGAGAGAGAGAGAGAGAGAGAGAGAGAGAGAGAGAGAGAGAGAGAGAGAGAGAGAGAGAGAGAGAGAGAGAGAGAGAGAGAGAGAGAGAGAGAGAGAGAGAGAGAGAGAGAGAGAGAGAGAGAGAGAGAGAGAGAGAGAGAGAGAGAGAGAGAGAGAGAGAGAGAGAGAGAGAGAGAGAGAGAGAGAGAGAGAGAGAGAGAGAGAGAGAGAGAGAGAGAGAGAGAGAGAGAGAGAGAGAGAGAGAGAGAGAGAGAGAGAGAGAGAGAGAGAGAGAGAGAGAGAGAGAGAGAGAGAGAGAGAGAGAGAGAGAGAGAGAGAGAGAGAGAGAGAGAGAGAGAGAGAGAGAGAGAGAGAGAGAGAGAGAGAGAGAGAGAGAGAGAGAGAGAGAGAGAGAGAGAGAGAGAGAGAGAGAGAGAGAGAGAGAGAGAGAGAGAGAGAGAGAGAGAGAGAGAGAGAGAGAGAGAGAGAGAGAGAGAGAGAGAGAGAGAGAGAGAGAGAGAGAGAGAGAGAGAGAGAGAGAGAGAGAGAGAGAGAGAGAGAGAGAGAGAGAGAGAGAGAGAGAGAGAGAGAGAGAGAGAGAGAGAGAGAGAGAGAGAGAGAGAGAGAGAGAGAGAGAGAGAGAGAGAGAGAGAGAGAGAGAGAGAGAGAGAGAGAGAGAGAGAGAGAGAGAGAGAGAGAGAGAGAGAGAGAGAGAGAGAGAGAGAGAGAGAGAGAGAGAGAGAGAGAGAGAGAGAGAGAGAGAGAGAGAGAGAGAGAGAGAGAGAGAGAGAGAGAGAGAGAGAGAGAGAGAGAGAGAGAGAGAGAGAGAGAGAGAGAGAGAGAGAGAGAGAGAGAGAGAGAGAGAGAGAGAGAGAGAGAGAGAGAGAGAGAGAGAGAGAGAGAGAGAGAGAGAGAGAGAGAGAGAGCGGGCGAGAGACACAGACAGAGAGAGAGAGAGCGCGGGCGAGAGACAGACAGACAGAGAGAGAGCGGGCGAGAGACACAGACAGAGAGAGAGCGGGCGAGAGACACAGACAGAGAGAGAGCGGGCGAGAGACACAAACACACAGACAGACAGAGAGAGAGAGAGAGAGAGAGAGAGAGAGAGAGCGGGCGAGAGACACAAACACACACACACAGACAGACAGAGAGAGAGAGATGCTCATCATCCTTATGTCAGATTCAAGACAGTAATACTATTGCAGTATTATAAATTATTTTTAAAAATTCAGTTTTAAAATTGTTTTATATTTTAGTTTAGGTTTTAATAATTTTGTTTTTTGACTTTAATAATAAAGTTTTACTTTTTTACTTTACTTTTTGTAATTTTAGTACTTATTTATTTCAGTTAGCTTCCAAAGCAATGTTTTTAATTTTCTAAAATTAAAAAAAAAAAAAAAAAGTTTTCTAAAAGGTTTTTCTTCTAACATTTATTTTATTCAGGTTTATTACAGTTAACTAAAACCATATAAAAACGTTTTGTTTATTACTTGAAAATAAATAAGCCTTATCTGAAATATATAAAGACATACATAAAGAAATATATAAAATATATATAGACATTAAAATAAGATAACAAAAACATACAACAAAATAACAGAAATTAAAATAAAAAGAGAAGTATAAAAATACAATCTAATTCAAAATGCTAACAAAATCTATTATAGTATATCAATAATACTAAAATAACTAACTACTGTAAAATTATTTGTATAAAACGGATAGTTCCGGTCCTTGATTCTGATTGGCTGAGCCACGTTCGAAGCTTCTGTGTGTTGCTCGGCAACCACTTTGTTGCAACCACAACTGTTTCTGAGGAGCTACATTGTTTGGTGGAAGAATATTGTTTTTATTAATATCATTACACTTTATTTGCTCTGTTTTATTTTGTGAAATCTTACTACGTATATGGAATAACCGTTTTATAAAAGCAATAAGCCCCGTGAAGCCGTGGTTTACAGTGAATTTATAACAGATAAGGGGCCTTCAGAGTGGGCCTTCTTGGGGCTTATTGCTTTAGTAGTAGTTTAGTGATCAGTAAGTGTCAGTGGTGTGTTGGTGATTGAGACACTAGAAGGTGCTGTGGAGTCACATACTCTTCAGTGTGGGCTGAACCTTATAGCCAAAGAAGCAGTTCCAGTCCTCGCCGTTATACACACGACTGCAGCGCTCCGGAACCACGCTGTTCCAATATCTGAACACAAAACACAAAACACGGTCCCACATACAGTATAGCAGCATAAACACGTGTGAATGTGTGCGTGTCTCACCGCACTCCTCTCTTGATGGCCTCGGTCGGAGCACAGCTGATCGTGTCGATGCAGTCGGTGAAGCGGTACTGTTTATGATCCAGAAACCAGCCCGAGTCCACCAGACCCCGAACCTGAACCGAACCGAGACCCAGATCCTCCAGCAGCTCCGACACACGGTCCACATTCAGCAGCACTCCGGTACCGCCGGCGCTGAAGACACAACACAGCCGAGATCAGTGTGTTTCTTCGTCAGATTTGTAGAAATGTAGCACTGCATCAGTGTCTCAGCAATGGATGCTCTGCAGTGAATGGGTGCCGTCAGAATGAGAGTCCAAACAGCTGATAAAAACATCACAATAATCCACAAGTAATCCACAGCACTCCAGTCCATCAGTTAACATCTGGAGAAGACAAAAGCTGAAACTAATCCAGCATTAAGATGTTAATAACTCAAATACGAGTCCATAATCCATAATAACACTTCCTCCAGTGAAAATGTCCATCTC